GTATTAAAATTGGCAAAGCAAACAGAAAGACACAAAAACAAAAATGGAGGTACACAGCATGAAAATTGGGTTTTAATCAAACTGCATGGCAACTTCATGACCTCCTGTTCCTGGAGCTGTTACTAATGCCACATTCAAAGTCAGATGAAAATTGTCAACTGGAAGAGCACTATCACTACAACGCAAGAGTGCTGTGACAGTATGAGTCAGCAATACTTGTCAGACTGTCAACATTTGAGCAAAAACATGTCAGTGTTGTTTTTATCTAGCTAAACCTTGACCCAGTGTGCCATACAGTGCCTGAAATGAGAGGATGTTGTTTAGCTGTTGATGCAGACTCCTTTAAGGACAGTTATCCTAAGACAAGTCATCTTGTAAATAAAAATGGTGAGTTGATTACTTGACTTGTTCAAGTTGCTTATTGTGTTGCTCTTTGCCAACACAATATGAAGTGCAATGATACAACATTTTCAGCGACATACATCACAGTTTTTCCCCTTTTCTGCAATCTACTGTGACAAAGATCTTAGCAAGTTCTCCTTCTAAAGTAATGCCCTTCCCACCCCAAACACTTTCAGAGAGAACATATAACTGACACATAAAAGATAAAGAAAAGACAGAAGAAGAAAACGCAGGTTTTTAGATACACAGTATGTCAGGTCATTCAATAGTAAATGTTACCTTGTATTGTAAGGAGTTAAAATACATATTTCTGCACAGTGTTGACAGGATGAAATGCAACTTAAAATCCTCAGGGTTGAGACAAATTTGTTGTCTCGTTGGCATTTCTGTTTCAGGGGGTATTACATTGCATTTATCAAAGTCAGAAGTCAAAAACTCTTGACTTAACATTTCTGGAACACAGCACATCTGCTGAGTGAGGAACAAAGCCACCTGCTTTACACCCCTTGTGGGATCTGGGGAACTGGCACTCTTTGATGTTTCAGAGCACAGTTTAGCAAAACATTAGTATTCACCGGTAATGCATGACAGCCAAATGCTATTTTTTTCTACTATATGAATTTGAGCAGTGTGAGATGTCAGTTTCTATTTGACAGCTCATTTGTCAGTCCTTTAGGCTTCTGTTAGGCATCATCCTTTCAGTGCACAGACATGCAAACCCTCCACCTGTCCTCTCAGGTGGAAACATCCCTGGACCTTTGCCCATAGTCAAGTCTGGCCACCACGGCCAGACCTCCTGCACACATACATACACAAACACACATGCACATGCACACAGTAGCTAGGAGGAAGCAGTGACCACTGAGGCTGATTTTATTTTGTTTATTCTTTTATATGAGCAGACACTGGGTTTGGCCACTGAGGCTGCAGCTAATCATTTTAACCTTTCAGTTGGCTGGAAACTTAATTGTAGATGTTAAACCAGCTGTTGCAGTTGTATTGGTGTTCTGGTTGATTTTTAGTCTTTTTGAATGCTTGCAATTTAGTAACAATATTTTTTTTTATGTTGAGTGTAGCCACATTAATTCAGTCTCATCATAAACCGGAGTGTGACAAGGAACTTACAGAGATATTTTTTCCTTTTTCTCCAAGAAAAAAAGAAAAGGATTGAGTATAATCAAACACTATAATAATAGCAACAATAATGATAACCTCATAATCACCAGTTTTTTATTTTCTTTCTTTTAAAATCTTTATAGAACAGTGTGAATGCCAATTCCTTCCTTCTATAAAAACTGTTAAAGTGTTTTTTGCCCTGTCTTCTTTCCTGCATTTTTGAGAGCAGACGTCACAGAGTGCCTCAGGGGGAGCAGTTGAAGAGGTAAACGTGTATTTTTTATGCTCAGCAAAGTGGACTGTTTTTTGTGGCCTTGACAAAGATTGCTTTAGAGAAACTAAAGGAGCCTCTCACACTTACACTCTAACTCCGCAGCCATTTAATGGAGGCTTTGGGTACTTAGTGTTAGCTTGGAAATTATATGTACATCTCAAGATGTCAAAGCACACACAAAAAGAAAAAGACTTTTTGTTGACATGATTTTTAAAATATGCTTCAAGACTTTCTAAAAAATATTAATTTTACTAATCACCAATCTTCATTCAAGTTTTACCAGTAAATCTTTTCAGCGGTTGAAACCAAAGAAACATAATGTGGGATGAACTAAGATGGGGGGAGCAAGTAGCAACCTGAAGAACGCTCAGAATGCTGAGGCTTGGGAGATCAGTCTATCAAGATAAACATGTCATGCAAGCAGTCTTTGTTTTTGATGCAGTAGCAGCCCTGCAAAACCCTCAACCCTCATACTTTCTTTCAGTGGTCACTAGGAAACTGAACATGGCTGAACAAAGATCAGTGGCCAGCAGCTTTCAGCATCTGAGGCACAAGCTGGACCCACATTTACATTGCCTCAAAACACCTGGGGATCTGGATATCAACAGACTGGAAAACTAACCTATACCCATACCACTAACCCTAATTCAAGACTTAATGAAATGCATTAGCATAACTACCACAACTCCAAATGGATGACGTGAAAATTTAAAAGCACCTTAGTTAGTTTTGTGCCCTCAATTCTCTGTCTAGTTACACTATACCCACACTGTCACATCTTATTGCCTGGCCTTTGATCAATTCATAACCCCAACACACATGTCCTATCCAGAGATTCCAGTTGAAAACAGAATGCATCCAACCACAGGAGACCTTCCAAAGGCTAATAGAGACACTTTGGCTTTCCTCATGCTTCATTTACAGAGGACCTGTTATATTGTACTGACTGCCCTGTTAAACACAACCCCTGGCACAACAATGACTTGTCTGATTATGGCAGCTGTTAGCGTAAAAGCTTGAAATGAGTTGGAAATGTCAGGGGAATACAGGGGTTGGACGCCTACAATATAACGCAGTCTGATACAACAGCCCCTCAACAAATACTGTTGTTGTGAAGAGTTTTATATACATTTTAAGATTGTGAGAGAGGTGTTGATTTAACCAAGTTAATTTCAAAGCAGTATCCTGCGGTACTAAAGTGTTATAAAAGCCCCCCTGTCTATCTTTAGTGATTAAATGTTGTACTTCAAGGAATAGTAAGAGCCTCCTTTGTAATTTCTGCGCATTTTCATGGGGTTATCAGGAAGCCACTGTGTCAAATGGGCCAGACTTATTCATCATTTGTTTGCCTGCTATAGTTTCATGTGGGACAGCTAAGACCTCTCTGATTTTCCTTGAGAGACACAAACAATTAATCTCTGAATTATCAATGAGTGAAGACATTTCATCCACAGCTGTGCAGAAAGGCCTCAGTGTCAGTGCAGTACCAGGTCTTTCACTTTGTATTGGTACCAGCAGTGTCATGGCTGCTGTGTAGTTTGCTGGGTGATGACCAGTCCTCTCAATCTTACCCATGAGAGTGCAGTGTGCAGATAAACTCAGTTTGTAATGCAGAGGCAGTAGTTGATCAGTTGTGTTGTGTTTTAGAGATTTTTCTTTATTTTATTTTGTTTTTGAGTTTTGTTGAAGTGCAACACCTCCGAAGCATTTTACTGAGCCGATTGTGTCCGTTTGACCTGTTGTCCTTCCCTGAGAAGTACTGGCAGTGTTTCCTGTGCAGAGGCTTAGCAACTAACACCTAACACATTATATCAAGATAATAGCAGCAAAAAAATGGGGGTTCAGACATTTCTTTAACATTCTGAACTTCATGACATTTTTTTCACGTGCAACAATGTTTATTTATGCAGACTGAGAATATCAGCAAAGTATGTCACTTATAATCATAACTTAACCATAGCAGTGGCATTCTTCCCTCTTAGCCGGTGACATTGGCATGCACCAGTGCATTTGAAAGTGTTTTATTAATTAATAATGGCACCTCTAAATGTTGTCAGGTTATAACACTGAATGAAAGATACAAGGAAACCCACGACAAGGAAATTGATGAAAAAAAACCCTCTGAAAAACCCAAAAGACAAGAAAAGTTGACACGGACTAGAGAGGCAGAGATGCTTTCAAAAATCCATGTTGACTGAAAGAGGTGGGTACACACATTTTCTGGCAGCTGACATGTCATCTGACTCACCAAGCTAAAATGCCCTTCATGAGTTAGGATGAAAGGATTTGAATCCAGTTTCTGTCACATGTCACTTTTCCTGTCACTCTGTCCTGTGCATTTACTTCTTTTATTACCCACATGCTTGCTCTTGAGCTTCCACTGCTGACCTTCTCAGAGACGAACACTGACCATGTTTCCCACTTAGTTTCACTAAGATGCCTAGGAGGCAGAAAAAAACCCCTGAACAAGCTTTCAACAACATGTTGTTATTAAGTGTTCAGCAAATACTATTTGAATTTGGATCTACAAACTCTACCCCCACTGTGAGCGCTTTTCTGCATAAATAAATTGTAAGTTTCACTGTTATGAGAGTGGAACGCCTATTTGATCTAATGAATATTAGGATTGCCTTTCATGTGAGGAGCATCGAGGTTTTAGCCCAGTTGATGAACATCCCACCAAGAGGATAAAACCACAGTAATGAGGGGCCCCAGGCAGTTTTTTGAAGCAGTAAGGCACCTGAATCTATCTGAAAAGCACCAACAGCAACATATGAAATCTGAAATAAACTCATCATGAATAAAAATGTACATTAACTTGTTTTCCCTTCATTTGAGAGTAGTTTGTGAAGAGATCTGATCAAAATCTTTTATACCCCACAATTGAGATCAGTTCCTAATAGACAAACTCAATGCAATAATTGGAACAAAACTGCTGAAGTGATCCTGAGGGGTCGAAGGCTTAATAAGTAAATGTTAATTTGCTGTATCCATAAATTGGATCAGTTCCCTCAGTGATTGCGAACGCACAATTTAAGTATCTGCTGTTGCCGCTTATTCTCAAGGCCCCCTGCTAAGTCTAAATTTTAAAAGGCAACATTACTTGATTGCAATGTAAATCTCAACCCCGCCTGAGCTTGATAGATAGTATTCTTAAGACTAATAATGAAGATGCTAAAAAGTTTTAATCAGAGTGCCACACAAATAATCACCTCAGTATCCAGTGATTTTTATTTTCTAATCATTTCCATTCTCATGTTCAACTAACAGTCTCTCGCCAAGGATGTCCTTGAGAAACAGAGCATGTTTGTCTTTAAACTCTTTTTTTAACATCATATTACAGCCAACCAAATAGTGTCTATAGTAATTTTACAGTTCGGTAAAGTTAATAAAAAGACAATATAAACCTCTGGCATGACAGCACTTTTCAAGGTGAATCAACATGCGTGATTAGCCTCTCTCTAATTTTGCTGACACCCAATTGTGCATAAAGGCTTGAGGACAAATATATAAAAATCTATCTTTCAAAACTATTTAATGAATGTCCCATATCTTCATTTTTGACATCTTATATACAGTAACTCAGAGGCAGTGCCAGCGGTCGTCTAACTGCATCCTTCATCAGTGACAGTAAGTGGACAGAAGCGCGAGGAAGATTAACTAAAGAATAATTTGGTTTTTGAAGCCGCGGTTGAGGTCTTTATGTGGGAGGACAATCGAGTTGAGTATAATCACCTCGGATGGGATCGTCACGTTACAACCTGAGGAGACAAAGCACAGCTGTATTTAGTGTGTGCAGTGTAGTGCCAAGACATCACACATTGTAAATCTCACTCCTAACGTATAGGATATTTTATATTATTTTTAATTTCTAGTTTACTTGGAAAAAAAAATAACAGCAATTTCCACCATGGATGAACAGGCAAAGATGAACAAGAAACTCACAGACAATATATCACAAAGACTCTCAACCACTGAGGGCACTGTTTTGACAGGTGATATCTGGGAAATGTTAATGCAAAAACTTAAAAGCAATGAGCACTAAAGATGGACAATGCAAATTTTCACTAATGCTTCTTGTACCATACTGGCCACTTGTTGCTAGAAAATTGAAAGGACAAATGCATGCAAAAATGTTAAATTACTACCCAAATACATGCTGTAGATGACTGCTGGGACTAATCCCAGAAAAATGTCAAAATTTGGAAAACGCAAGCATTTCCCTCATTCACCCATTAACAAAAACACTTATTTTGCTACTGAATATAATGAATATCAAACAATTCTTATGAGGAATGCAAGTTTCACTTACCGAGAATAGTAATCGAGGGTGTGAGTTTTCCATCTCTGAAGAGGGTCTCACTGTCAATCTTTGCATAGGGATCATTGGGGTTCGGGTCACTTGGGGTTCCTTCTACTCTTGCCCACTTTCCAATGGTGCTATCCCATCCCACAATGCTGTTTAAAACACAGCAGTGATCCTTCAGGAAAAACAATGAGACAAAAAAACACTTTGAGATAAAGTTTTTAAATATTCAAGAATTCATCTGCATATAATCCTTTGAAGCATCAAAGGGTTTCAGGTCTCCACATATACTGTATAAGACTCTGTGAAATAATTATGGGCATGGTCAAATCAGAGAACTTATAATGCCAGAATAACAACAGGGGATGTTTATTTGGAGGTAGACCTCAGCTGATAAATTGTCCTTGTAGGCAATATGCAGTGAAAGCCAATAAGTCACCTGCAGTCTAAATTCATTTTAGAGGCTCCCAGTCATCACTGGAGACACGAGATGAAATTATGACAGCCTCCAAATCGTTAAAAATGACATCTTTGTGAGAAGTATTGGCAACAATATTTCTGGTGTGACAGAAGAGCTTAAAGATAAATTTCAGAGAAGTCACTGCTGAAGTGTGGATAATGTTAGTAATAAAATGTAAAGATGTCACTGACAGTGAATGAGCAGATAAATTTGCCTTCAACTCGATTAGTTTGAGGTCCAGTTTAATTCCACACTTGATGTTCTGCACTGTGAGAGAAGGTAAAAGTTTCAGAGGTTGCTCATATTTAATCATGGCCAAAACCATGTTCACCTGTTAATGTGGCAAACAAATGAAAATTACACTGTCACTTTATACACATTTTGGATGCAAGAGTGAAGTGCAACTCGCTCCCACTGCGGTGCGTGGCAAGCCCCCAAAATACCAGGCAAGAACAGATGATTCAAAAGCCCTCATGTGGTTGAAGAAAATGCCCCTTTGGCAGAGCAGAATGGCGATTTGTGTGGAACAAGCTGTGGCTGGTCATGTTTTGCCCAAGATGGAAAACTTTCCTCTTGCACATCTTGTAAACCACTGTTTATTTACAGAGGCTCACCTGTAGATTTGCACCATGGAGGATGACGGATTCTCGAACTCTGACCCCAGCACCAATAGTCACTCCAGTGCCAATGGAAACGTTGGGACCCAACTGCACAGAGAAAAGAGAAATTACCTTAATGTTTTCAGTGTTTTCATTCAGTTCAGTGCAAAACAATATGGAAGAACTCTTACCGTGGCAGTGGGGTCAATATTGGCTGTAGGATGAATATAGACATTACCTGAGGAAACAAAAAGTATTAAAAAAAAAAAACTTTTAATTTTTAATACATATGGAAGTGTTAGGAAGGAACAAAGCTACAGAAGGTTTATGAATCTTACCGCTTATTTTGGGGCCTCCCTCCTTATTTACGGCCAGTCTTTCAGGATGAGTTTTGTGATACTGGTTGAGGTACAATCGACTGGCATATATTGCAGAGCTGAGAGAAAGATTACAAAAAATAACAAAAGAAGTCAATTAAGTTGATTAAGAAGGTATGATTGTGGGGTTAAAAGCACAAAACATGTTTCTGTATTATGGATAAGGCTGCTGTCGCTGTCTCTCTTAGGTTTGCTGTGTCAATGGAATTTACTGTCTATGTGTAAATCATCTTTAAATACCATATTAACTAAGTTTGAAGCCTACATTAATGCTTGACCAATGTCTCTCCTCTCCTCTGACATTTGGTATGCTATGGCATTGTACGCATTAGAATGCTAACTTTATGTGCTGTTCAACCTAAGTATTTATGACACATTCACTCACCCTGCAGATTTAATCTGGCTCCAGAAGCTGAGGGTTTTATACACATACAGTTTGCCCTGTCCTGCAAGGGCAGTGAAAATGTCCTGCTCCAGCCTGATGGCTTCTGCTCTGTGCCAGCCGTTGGTTGGCTCCTCTCTGCAAGAGACAGATGATCAGTTTATGGGACTGAGTTACAAACGAGGGCCAGGAGCTTTATTCATTAAAATAAAACCTTGGACTAAAAGTTAAAGGTTAGAATGAAATCCTAGTCAAAGCTGAGACTTGTACATAAAAATATACTATAATGTAAGGATTGTTTTGATTTAGTTCCATTTTTAAGGTGACATATATATATTGACACTAAATCAGCCAATATCAGGTATGGTGGCAATCAAGTGAAACAGTATTTTTAAAAATAACCCCCCTGGTTTCCCATAACCCTTAGCCTTAAGTGTATGTACTGTATAATCACTAAATACTAAGTGAATGATGAAATAGCCAAGGACCCTCCCTTCTCAACAATGAAAACAGGATCTGCAGGCCTATGTTGCAGCTTAAACCAAACATACTCATTAAGAAGCTGCATTTTAATGACCAACTTTAACACTCTGTCTGCCCATGTAATTCAAATGAGTAAAACTATTTAACTATATAGAGTGTGTTCTATTATCATTTTCTTCTACTAGAAATTGTACTTCCCTTAAAAAAATTAAAGGAATTAGAAATTAAGAAAGGGTTCCCATGGCTTTCTCTTCACCCCTCTTGTATTTTAACAGTTTTAGAGAGTCAAATATTTAGTTGAGTGAAGAAACCAACCCAGTAGCTCCGTTACCTCCGAAGTCTCTTGAAGCCAAAGAAAAACATGAAATTTATTGCCCTACAATCCAAGCTGCAGAGCGAAATCAGAGCACTGAGTTAAAATGCATCACTGATACCAACTTTGATGGTGTCAGCGCTGGGTTGAAACCAAAGCTGATTACCTAGTAGTGAACCAAAACTCCAGTGAAAGAATCTATGTGTTCCATATTAATCAGGGTTTCTGGCATAGTGTATTGTGAGAGCCCCAAGATGAAACAGAGTGTTAAATATTGATGAAAAGAATATTTTAAAGGATTGCACCCATAATCGAAGTTTTACCAAAAAGGCTGAGATGTGGTTTGAGGCAACTTAGTCCCTCAGAGATTCTGCAGTATAACACTTCTCATTTCTATCAAGTATCTCTGATGTGTTCAACAATTTTGCTGATTCAGTGCCCGGCTTGATTTAAGTGCTATTGATGTTAGTAGGTGAATTATGCAAAGCGTGGTTTGACCTTTTGCAATATATTTCAAGTGTCCTTGGGGTGTCAAATATTAGGTATACTACACCACTGAATGTGAAAACATGAGAAGTGAAAAAGTGTCAAACCTCCAAACAAACCTATTACCAACTATATGGTCCCCATGTGTTATCTTAGCTTGTGTGAGTGATCAAGGTCCAGTCTGTCCAAATGAACATTCAGACTGATCAGACAGGAAGCTTTTTCTGATATTCAGAGGGAAAGCTCAGCTGGGAGTGTAGCAGCTAACAAATAGAGCAAGAATTCATGAGATGCAAGACCAATACAAAATTCTCACTGGCAACTGTGAAACACAAAGTTTCACAAAGTTATTTAGTCTTTGTTATCTAACTTACAGAAACAACAGAGACAACATAAAAGACAAGACAATCAGTAAATGTTCTGGTTGGGCCTCACAAGATGAACAGAATGCAGAATGTAGTGTTAAACAATCGAGAGAGCAAGCTACAATAGGGTCAATTTTTTTTTTTTTAGGACAAAGATGAAACCAGATACTAAAATTAAGGTTTTTTTAACCTACAGATATGGATGTCTCAAGTGAAATTTGTCTGTACTTTGGGACTTCAAGCAAAAGTCCAACATTTTAGGAAATTTGCTTTCTGGCATAGAGTTAGATAAGAAGATCACTACTGATCTCATGTCTGTCATTTAAATATAAAGCTAGTGCCAACAGCTGGTTACAAAAAAAGTGGAAACAGAGGGGAAAGTTACCCTGGCTTTGTACAACACTAATAAAATCTGCCTCCCAGCATCTCTACAGCTCACCAGTTAACCTGTTGTGTCTCATTGTGCTTTGAGTTGGTGTATGTGCCGGACTGTTTCTTAGCTCTCAGCAATTGCAAGGCAACTAAGAAAAAGCACATAATCCACTGTAAAACAGCAAATTGTCATTTTTCCACTTACCAAACAGACATGAGAGTGGTATCAGTCTTCTCATCTAACTCTCAGCAAGAAAGCAAAAACATGTATTTTCCTAACAAGTCAAACCTTTAATCTCTGACAGGCAAAGACATTCCCCAGCAGTTCCCCAACAGAGCCCATTTAAAGGGCAAAATTGGTCAAAAGACACAACTATAATATTTGCTAAAAGACAGAACTATAAATAAATAACAACAAATGAATAAATAAATAAAAATATCTAGCTGCTACTGAAATAGAAGGTGCATAATTTATCAAAAAAGTGCACAAAAAAGGGCACAGGCAACAAAACACAAAGCATCCTATGCAATATCAGCCTTATCATGGTTCGTCTTTCTACAGCTCACACCATACAGTAAGTGCTCTATGACCACACCGTGCAGCCTAAATGTACCAACTTACCCATCATATGGATATCTGATGAGTGTAAGAGGAAACAGAAATCATGGCAGAGGGGAGAAGGAAAGGAAAAAAACAGACAAATGAAGAGAACCAAAGAAATGGAGTAAATGGTATTTACATGCATTCCCACACACAGACCCCCTGAGAGGGAGTGCTTCAACTCACAACAACATGTCCTGCTGATTCTTCTGAAAGACTGTGCCGATATGCTGGAAGATGTCCGGGTTAAAGAGGTATATGCCACAGTTGATGATGTCACTCACAAATGTGCTCGGCTTTTCCACATAATGGAGGACCTGCACAAAAAAGAGGAGTAGTTACGATTCGAAGGTTACACAGTAATGACTAACTATTTAGGGAAATAAAATAGAAATGGTTAAATACCTCATTTGTTTCCTCGTTTTCAACAATACAGCCATAATTCAGAGACTGTGTTCTGTTTGCCTGATAAGAGAAGAATGGTGGAAAGGGTTAGCACTTATCAAATTCTATGTTTTGACATAAAAGAACCAAGATTTGTTACGAACATTTCAATATAGTCCAGATGCTAAAGCTGAACAAAATAAATACTTTTTAGAGTTTAACTTTCACTACATTTTACAAGTTCTTTTATAGACATTACTAACTGCCAATAATAAAATCTCACTGTTGTTCCAAGGATAACAAAGCTGTTTGGTTCTCCGTGTTCTTTCTGGAAGCTGAGCATCTCTGTGAGAGGAAACGCTGAAGAGACATCTGCATTCAGAACAAAGAAAGCCTCTGGACTGCCAGACACAATCTGATCTCTGAAGTGATAGATGCCCCCTCCAGTTCCCAGGGCTGCATACTCTTGCAAATACCTGCAGTGAACAATCAGGAACAACAGCATACCTACAGTCATTGAACAATCACTGAGTGGTCAACCTGACACCTTAGCAGTATGTTGTTATAACCCCCACAGTCCCCAAATATACAGGAAGTAATAGATGTCATTGTGTAAGGGATGTGCAAGGGACAGTGTGAACTAGAGTTGTATAATTAATCAAAATATAATCGAAATCGCAATATAAGTGCATTATCCAAATCGCAGGAGCAGCAATTTTTTTGATAAAGGTAAAAAGTGTCATAACATTGTTGTGCATTCTTAGCACCATAAGTGTTGTGGTGCTACAGAGACGCCTCAGCCTACAAATCATATTCTGATACAAGACCCAACAAAAATCACATCGTCATTTTTATATTTTTCTGTAAAAATGAAATGCAAACAACCGCTCCAACTGAAACATCAGCATCTGCCAAAATATCCACAAAATGATTTTTTTCCTGCATATCAAACAGCCCTAGCATGAACATAACTCTGTTTATCTGTACTTGTTTAGTGAGATAGTGTTTTTCAGCTCTGTTTTTTTACCTGATGGAAATTTTGAACTCCTGCTGTGCATTTACCAGGAATCTGGTTAGTTCTTCATTTGGCTGGTAAAAGCCGATGAGCAAAATCTCCTTCATGTTTGGTACCTGTAGCACAAAAAGATGTTAATTATTGGACTGATTTCATAAAAGGCTATTCTCTGCATTACAGAACAATTGTTTACACTAACCAGTACATACTGCATTACAGTGTACAATAATTGATGATTCTTACCTTGGCACATGCTTCAATGTGGTGCTGCAGCATGGGCACACCAGCGACCGGAAACAATGGTTTGGGAACTTCAAATGACAGCGGCCTGAATCTTGTGCCTGCAAAGCAATGTAGTTCATTACTTACAAATCAGGTTACAGTTCAGATAACTTTTTCTCATGTTTCTAGTGTGCATCAAAACCAAACCAAACTTTTAACTATATTATATGTGACATACTCTACTTTTGTATATGAGAAATCCTGTCAGAAACTTGGTATTTTAAATAGTAAATATCTTTACGGACAAGAAAGTGTTCAACAAAGCAATAGGAATCAGGTAGTAAATTATAGAGCTGTTAAGATTAGTTGATTGATTGATCAGTCAACAGAAAAATTATTTTGATAATCAATTGATCATTACAGTATTTTTTTAATATAGAATTAGTAAAACATTTTGTTTTCATCCTCTTTAATATAAAAATGTTCTGCTTTTCACGGTAATCTTCTGTTTCTGAAGATGTCATCGTGGACTCTGAGAAACCAGAATGGACATTTTTCACTATTTTATGACATTCTGTGCACTAAATGATTAATGAATCAATCCAGAAAAAATGGACAGATTTAATAAATAGGGAAAATAATTAAGTGTGGCCACAGTAAATTACATACAGAAGAGCTCAGATACGGGGTACTTCATCTCTATTCAGGCTCAGCTAAGTTATGAAAAATTAAAGGCATCTGATACTTTAATAAGAACTTTCACAAATGAGTGCATGCTGAAATGTAGAGTGCATATATTGTAACTCACATATTCGTTTACTTAGTGCAGTAGCAAACAATTAAAAATGCTGAAACGTGTTCTTTAAATACTTAATTCTTAAATAGGATTACATTGACTGATACAGGGGTAAGTTTGATAGGTAAATGAATAAGCCACTATAGGATATAGTTACTCCAACAATGTGCATATATACAAGTCGTCATATAGTTGTTGTAATAAAACATTATTAGACTATAAAGCAGTGAATGTTGTGTGTTGTTTGTATGGTGGCATCTCATTATGCCACGTCAGTGATATAAACAAGCTCAGCGTGTCTTAAAAGGTCTTGTTAGCATTAGCAGCCTGGGTTCCATTAACCACACACAGACTGACTGTGAAAACACGACAATAATGAGACTTTTCTCTCACCTTTCTGAGGGCCTCCAATTAAAATGACCGCCTTCAACATCTTGACTAAGAAGTGGTGATTTGTGACAGAACTGTCTGAAAACAACCTGCAGCTGTTTCGTGAATATTTCCGCTTCCACTTCCTACTTGTGACGTCGACAATATCACCTTGAAAACATGGAGCGGAGTGACGTTACAGAAACGGAGTGGAGACTAGAAAGACCTGGGGTAGTATTCACAAAGGATCGTATCTTGCCAGGAGTGCACCTCAATGCTGTCACACGTTTCCTCTTTAAGACTGACTTGTAAGGCTGGATGTAACTTTAGTTAACGAACAGGGTTGACCCCGGTTGCTATGGATGACATCATGTGAACCTTCAGGTTTTGTCATAGATAGATAGATAGATAGATAGATAGATAGATAGATAGATAGATAGATAGATAGATAGATAGATAGATAGATAGATAGATAGATAGATTAAGATCAATAATATAAAAAAGACAATAGCTAGTGAAATGTCATGAAAATGCTGAAAAGTGGACAATGTGTGATGTATCATTAAAATATTGCTATTCAATCAAGATAACACATTTAAAAGCATTAATGCATTAAAAATATATTAATATTGCTTTTTCAAATTTAAGACCTCAACAAAAACATAAAACAATCCCTTGAGTGACTGAAACTGTCACTTGTAGTTATGAGTTATCTTGTCAGGTGATAGATTGTCATAACCCTCTCCGCAATCATTCATCATTACGTAACTTTATTCACAAAAAATGCTTCTGTAATACAGCATTTTAACAGCAGGCATTTTGACTGACCTAAACCAAAGCACACCAATTAATGGAAGAGGAGGAATAGTAATATCAACTGACCTAGAATACATACAACTTGTACTTGCATCCCACATCACTTTATGCGTGCAGTTTTTTTTTAAATTTATTTATTTATTTCAGTTATAGATTGTGTTTGTGTTAGTCAAGGCAGCAGCTTCTGGCTGTGATTTGTTTTTAATGTTTTGTTTGTGTTGCAAGTTTCAGGAGAAAGCCTGCGTGCATTCACAGATTTACACTTTTCCAGGGCATTATAATGTTGAAATCACATAGTATTATCTTTCTTTCTCCTTTATCTCATATTAAGTCCAATAAACTACTGATTCTACTTTCAGAGTGCACCTCTGATTTATACAGAACACTTGGAATATGGCACCTGAGGTGGACCGAGGACACAACACCTTGTAATTCTACAGCTTGTTGCTCTGTTGTATTAAACTGCTTTATCGACAGCAAGTGCAGCTCACTTTTTTCTGACATAAAGTATCCTTTGAACGTGCTTTAAGTAGGTTATGCTCTTTGAGTTGAAGGAAGTTATAGGAGTGGGAAAAATAACTCAGCTGTCAGTTTTTAACATTCATAAAGACAACAAGTACCATATACACAGCTCTAATAGAGAAGTTTACTTTCATATTTCCTCATTAAAACATAACCTGAAGTAAAACAGTCTCCCGTGTGGTGGTGTTCGTAACTCAAACATATGCAAATAAGGTGCAAATCTGCATCAAACAAACAGAATAACATTTTAGTCAACAATCACCAGGGGACAAGGTGCTTTGGTACAAGCTCCTTTGCAGGAGCAATGGAGGAATCTGAAGCACTTTCATATCTCCTCAAAAGTTTCAAGGTTTATTTCTTTGCATTCTGGCCCATCTCGACCTAAACAGAGGCTGCATTAGACTTCCTTCATAAAAACACATACAAAAAACAACAAAAAAACATTGTTACAATGAAAATGATTTTCCTCCTCAGTATTGTCACAGTATAATAAACGCTTCAATATATTAAAAAATATTTATCATTTTGACTTTCAGATTCATTATAAAAACATTCCTTCAATTGAGTGTCACAGTCAATGTCAAATTGTACTCTCATATTAGAAAGCAAATGAAAAGTCTTCCAATTCCATCAACAACCTAAATATTACACATTTTAAACATCAATTAAAACTCACTGCAAAGCAGTGTATGTCTACAGATAGCTTGATTCAGTTTAATTGGCAGACATGAGTAATTAATTTAAAATTAGCTAAAAAACAAATCTTTTTAATAGCAATTTCAGTCATATTTCATATATTACAATGCAGTGTCTGTTAAATCTTTCACACATGCTGCTGTTCATGTAGTGACATGTAGTAAAAAATACAGTTCTAAAAGCCAAACAATTACTTCAGCAAAAAACATTTTCTGAGAGGCACAAAAAATGTCTTTACTACAAAATGTGTTTCATCTTTGGCCCACGAGCAGATAAATCCTTACCGTTTTTATTTTAAAGTAAAATTCCTACGGGAAAAAACAGAGTTAGTAGCCAAATAACGTGCACCGTAAAGAACTAATGCTAGTAACATCTTTTTTAAAGTGAAAACACGATTGACTCTTGGATTCAGCAAACATATTCACATAAAAGGCTGTACCAACAGCAAAAAGCATTTGTGCGATTAGTTAAATTAAGGGTACCATTATTATAACAGTTGTAACAATTCAAAATCAGTCAATCAAAATACTCAAGTCCAAGTCAAATATTCCATGGAGAAAATAATTACTCTTCAGCAGCATGTAAATGTTAAACCAGCGAACCAAATACAGTCATTTTCATGAAAGGTTTTGAAGACAATTGATTGCTCATCCTAAAAATTAAACAAACTGTGGAGTCAATAATACAGTACCTAACATGCTGATTAACCCACGTAATGTGCAGACCTGTTCTCACCCTGTGTTTCACACACCAGAATGAGAAATCTGATTATACCAGGAAGGTACTCATGCAAATCTACATTGTTGTTATGACTCTGTGTTAAAGAGGCAATAAATGAGCACTACTCTGTCTATAAACACAAAATTACCACAACATACAGCATGTGGAGAGGTAATAGGATTATTAGTACTTGGATTATGTAATAATGAAGTTGTGACTTTGTTCCTAGTGGTCATTGACACAGGTTGATAAAGGTCAAAAATGATTTAATGCCCCTTTAAATGTACAAAACCGGTCAGGCTTTTTTTTCAGAGCTCAGTAGCAGATTGCCGCTTTCGTACCACTGTCCTTTACAGGTGAGCTCACTGCTCTGTTCCCTGCTGTTTATCAGACTTTTCGCTAGTACTATCTCCTGTTGTAGAGGTCTTTGCGTTTCCGCAGCTCCTCCAGCACACGAGCCCTGAATTGAGTCCAGTCTTCATCCTGAAACTGCTGGAGGCCTAGGGCCAGATGGAGCTCAGCAGAGTGGCTGCGCAGGAAAGGGTTGTACTGCTTCTCTTCTCCAATAGTGGAGGGACTCTGAAAATTAAGTGCATGTCAAAATTCAGCCCTTTTTAGAATCTCTTAAGTAGCCACAATGAGTCATATGCCATTCATTAATTTGCATAACAGTATTATGGGTAACAAGGGATTCCTGCCAACTTAACCCAGCACAGCATTGCCTTTCTTCATCTCTGTCCCAGTTCAACTGCTGCAACACATTTCCTGATCAACAATATATCACCTCTTACCTTTCCATGTCATGCAATTAGCAGGGCATAATCTGCTAATCCAGATGATACCTGGATCACAGAAGTTAAAGGTGACTAAAACAATGAATTCAAGTGTTAATGAGATTTTCTGCTCTTACATTGTTTAATGTAAAGCTCTCTGAGCAAACCCTCCTTCCCTACCACATTGCAAATTCAAATATGTAGGTAATCAATACCCAGCAAAAGTAGAACTTTAAAAGACCTACCCAAGACTGAGCTACTAAAGCAAGCCATATAAACCATATTAGTTGTCATTTGAATTCATCAAATTTTATAGTAATAATCAGGATGATAGGCCTTTTTCTTAGCAGACACACACACAGTAGTAAAAGCACGGGTATAAATGATAACATTGATAATGGCTGAATTTCATTTAACTGCTTCAGTTTCCTGGTGTTGTTCATGCTGGCTCACTGTCATGGCGTACCGGCACACTAGAACAAAGTCATTGTTAATGTTGTAAGTAACACCTGTGTTTTCCTACAATGACAAGTCAAAATGTCTGTCTGACAAGACAGATTTTCTTTCATTATCCAGTGACATTCATATAACATCAGCTATATCTGGCATGATCTGTGTTTGTCTATGGATTATATACGTTTGTTTATGCATTTAAAGCCCATATCTTAGGATCTTAAAATCATACCTAGTGTGGTAGTCAAAAAGACAGGTATTGTTTGTATGCATGGTTTTTTTTCCTTTACCGTAAATAACCCAAAAGATCAACATTTGTCAAAACTATTTCTAAAGAGCAAAACTTGCCACATTTCATGTTGCAATCATCCACATGATGCAGAGAAAACAAGATAGTCAATCATTTAATAAGTTTTGGGTTTGGAAGTTGGCAAAATTCAGTGAGGTGCAAACTTGTGAAACTGCCATGCTGTATTGATGGTAGATAAAAACCCCATCTAAATTCTGGATAGGTGCTTCACTCAACAGTATACCTTTGCTCTGCTGCAGACGCTATCATAGACGAGACTCAAATGTGAGAGCCTGAAAGAGGAGGAAGTGAGAAAAGAGCAAGCTCTCTGGGCACTGACAACATGAACACTGTACACAGGTGATAAGCCCTCCTTCCCAGGTGCTAGACAACATGAATCCTTTCTGGGACGATGTGCTTGAGAAGCATAACAATGGCAATACATCATTCTCACCGTGCACAGCTTCTGGCCTCGCTGCTGCAGCACCCACTGATATTTGTTTTCCCTGGCAGCATTGCGTGGCTCAACCTCAGCAGCAAACAGCAGGTTGTCTTCTGCATACTCATGACCTGAGGGATAACCATTCAAAAATGGAAAAAACAAAATAATGCCCTTGCGCATATCCACATTGAAAAGCTTCCACTCCATAGAAGTCCCTGTGTAATCCCTTTCAAGAATGGGACTGTAAATAAGTGCATTGGTGCAACAGTATCAGGGTTTTTCCTGGCTCAAAATGAGGTGGAGGTGGTACCATCTTGATCATGTGCACACACATGACGTACATGCGTACCACACAAACTGGCTCAAGCAAACACTTCTTACAATCAACATATTTTAGGAGTTCTAGTGAATCCTGAGGAATTTCCAATATAATATATATATAATAAGCAGTAACAATTTAGGAGATGTCACCTTGTGCATTTTACATTTTACAATTTCATGACATTTTAAAGGTTAAATAAATAATATCTGAAATATACAAACTGTAATTATTCTGTCTATGTCTCAGGATGTAGTTTAAAATCAGGTAGTTTAAAATGTCTTTGGGGAAGATAAATAAAATGACTTAATTAAAATCACCTAAGCATGGGCTTTGCGTTAATACACTCCAAAGCACTTGGCAACTCAATGCCCTCACCCTGGCTCTTCATCTGGTCTGGCACTCTGCCTCTGATCCTGTCCATCACTGGTCCCTTCCACTTCTTGTGGTTGTACGTTACTTTCAGGCCCAACAAATTTACAGCACCTCATCAGTAACATGAACTACTACTTTTTAACTGCCTGTAATAACCAGGTGACGTCTGCACTGTTTAAACTGCCCTTGTGATTCTCTTCCTTGCGAACTGCCCTTAAAAGACTCACTGATTGGCATGCAACGTTAATTTAGGAAACCTTTTTAAGAAATGGGACGTGCTTGGATGCAAAAGTAACAATATTCACCAGTTTGAACAACAACCAAATATCAGGCCAGCGCCGCCTGACACATTCCTGCTGTAGGGAATAAACAGACGCTCTTTGGAGGAAATTCCTTGAGGAAAATTGCAACTCTGTTCTTCTACAGCAGTTTTGGCAGCCGCTTTCCCAGTGCACTGCATCAGCGTAATGCCATAACTGCATTTCAGAGTGAAATGCTTGTTAGAAAATAACCTTAGACTTTGTCGAAAGCTGAAGGCGGCATGAGGTTTGATGGAGACACCTCATACTATTTTACACAGGAAAACCATAAGAATGTCTCTCAAAGTACAAAAATCAAACCACTGCACATTCAAACCACCAACACATCATACAAACACTGACACTGAGTCTCTGACAAGTGAGAACATTTTCCTACCAGGCCACAATAGAGTATCATCACTTAAGGAGCTGACTGTGTCCAGAGATGACAGCATTGTTGTTGCACTGCCTTCAAACATTCTCCCTGAAAACAACAAGAACAGGTTTTATTGTTATTTGATTTCCAGTTCAAAACAGGGCATCTGTAAATCTTAAATGGTGTATCTGCATTTAGCAAGCCAAACTTCATCTCTTAAGGATCTTTTCATTGCTACTTGGGATTGAATTTAAAACTTAAAATAAAGTTTTGGGGTTTTAAATGGGCCAGTTTCTGAGAAAAGCAACCCACAGTGCAAATGGGAAGTTAAAAAAGGGTCAGATAACAATTTCATTTTGAGAAGGACATAAACTGTTTAGTAAAGCTGGTATATACTACCGCTATTCTGCAGTGCACCAAAGAGCACAAAAGATGTTTGCTTTGCATACTGAACAAAATAAGCTTCAATTACGGTATTTAAGATTTTTAATTTTGATAAATTTGTACTTTTTATGATTTCTTGGGGAGCTGTCGATCTAATGTTAATCATTTTAATGTGATTATATTCCTTATAGCCACTAATAGACCAGGCAATAAAAATAATAACCATATTACAGGGACATTAAAAAGAATGAAAAAAAAGCCACGACTTGCACATAGTAGCAGTGTCCAGTAAAGATGACAGTGATATGCATTCATTGTTTACTAGATATCTCAAACTTGAGTGCATGTGGAGGGGCCAGAGGCCTGTACTATGAAGCAAGTTCAACATACCCAGGATACTTTTAGTTATCTGGCTTGACTGAACCTAACATTGACCGTCCTAATGACCTGTACTCCGAAGCAGGTTATCAACTGGCTCAGTTAACCCTGGGTTTACCCATCCGCCTACGAGCGCGTTCATGTGAAAGAGGCAGAGTTGTTAATTATAAGCAACATCGTCTGAACCATGAATTAAGTACTTAATATGATATGAGAAGAAACGCTGACACTTGATGGTAAGTTTGCTTATGACAACGTCCAAAAGTGATGTTCAACAAGGTGAAATGTAAACATTATGATCACATGACTAGAATAAAAAGAAATATTTCTAAATTTAATTACTATTAAAGTCAGATTAAAGATATATTGTAAATAAGTGGATGAATTATAATTAAGTTTCTATCTCAGTATTTTCACTCTTCAGTCTGATGAACAAACTATTGAGCATGTGCTATATGAACATGAGATGCAGATAAAACAGTTCAAATTTTAAAAACATTTTTTTTAAATAAACATTTAGTGTGATAAACTCCTCTGTTTGTTAGAAGCTCTGTTTTAAAACTAGAGTGGACATAGGCAATGTCTGGAACAGCAACTGATTTATATAAATATCTACTGCTCATTATTATTTATCACTTTATTGTAAAGTCTTTTGTTTTTCCAGGTATCTGATTGGTTAGTAGTTTGGCGGTTGACAGGTTTTGATCTGAGTTCAGCATCAGTTACCATGGTGATTTACCCTGGTAAGAAGACTGAAAATCCAGAGTTACACCTGTTTAGTTTCCTCCATAACATCAATTCCTGCTTTGTAGTACAGGCCTAAGGTGGTCAGTGTGTGTGTGTGTGTGTAAGTAAAGTAAAACACTAAAGCATCAAAAGTAGGGATATAAACCAGAGACATGAACTGAAAATACATTGCCTCCACAAACCAGACAAGAGCTGGTCAACAGCTGGTCCTGAGGTTTCAGCCTAAGGTAAGCAACCAGATAAATAAAATTGTACAGATAGGTCATTAACCCTTGTGTTTCCAGCCACCCAATTTCCTTGTTGACCTGAGGGGTCTGTTGCTATGGACATCATTAAACACCATTATCCATTTTATGCCAGTTAATTGAATATTCCAGTTAAACCTACATGCACATGTGTCTGTGCGGATGACTGCATGAGGAGAAGTTAATGCATTTATTTACACCGTCTGTATTCAGAACATGATGCTTATTTACCTTAGCACTAGCCAGCTCATTACCACCTTAGTCATTCAATGGCCCATTAGTGAGTACAAGGACCTGCTTTACGTGTCGAATCATTCCAGGTAAAACAAACACATCACAGAGGTCAATGTTGCTTTGTATTTTCTGTGTTCCTTCTTTATTTTCCATAAACTGTGAACCAGGACACAGCTTTATAAGATTACTTCTATGAATCCCATTCTCTGGGAAACTCACCACATCCTGAGAGGAAAACCAGGTCACCAGAGAAGAGGCTGGAGGGAGCGCCGACCGCTTGGCCATCCAGGAGGTAGATCATGTGGCCCACTGTGTGTCCAGGAGTGAAGAGGGCCTTAAAGTGCATCCGACCAACTGTTACAGAATCCTTGTGCGTGAGAGGGCTGGGAACACAGAAAAAATACACAGCACTGATGTCAGCACAGCACCACTGTTTCACTACACCCTACTGCCATTTTCAACTTCTTACAGAGTGACTGAGAACAACAAACACACTCTTGTACACGCCATTCTGACATGGTTTCAATATCTATGTAGGTCTTCGGCTGGGGATTGGAGTCACATCCAGCCTTCATATCAACTAGATGCAGTCCACAGATGTAATCTGAGGAGTTTATATCAAAACTGTGTACATGTGGATTCAGGGTTTCAGATGAGAAGAAATGAGTACACAAAGGTATAGAGCTTTTGATGTAATGTCTTACACAATTAAATTAAGGGAAACCAGATACCTAGTAAGAGGGGAGAGAAACTGGGAAGTAAATTGCTAAATTAATAGCTAATTGATTTATTCTGGACCAAAAACAGTTAAGTAAATGAAAATATAATCTTGAAATATAAAAAAGCCTTTTAAATAATTCTAATGTTAAAATGTACATGCCAAACTAAAAATATGGGGCAACAACTAGTTCTGGTATATGTAATGAGATCAGTCATAATCATTTTGGAAAATACACTTTGGCCCACTGGTTGTTTACACCATTGAGCCTCAGATGACCCCTATTCTTAGGCCACAACCCCCCAGGCATAATGGATCAGTTTATTCATACCATAAGTTACTGTGAAGTCAGCTGCTGCAAGTGTTGACAGTGAGAACAAGACAGGAAGCACTGTGCGAACAAGGACTTACTGCGTAAGGCCAGGAATGTTATCAGCTGCATTTCCATACACTCGGCATGAGCTGTGAAGCCTTTTCAACCCTTTGTTTCCCCCGCTGTGATCCCTGTTAACAGAACAAAGTGTAGACGCTTAAAAGTTCCGAAATATGAGAGAATATCTGATGTATAAATGTCATTTTCAAACGTATTCAGATTAGTGTTTCCTTTAGTATAAATTTTAAATGTGTTGAAATTTGAACAGCAGCAATTCTGTGCATGAGAACGCCATGTTTACCCATATTCCCTTCACACACTATACAGTTTTTGCAAAGTGTCATACTTGGTTAGGGCTATATTTAGCCCCATCTCCTAATGTTTTATACATACAAACCTAAAAAACAAACCACACATTAAAATAACTAAAAACCATAAAACTCACCAATGCTTGTGTGTGCAGAGTATTGCTTCTAACATCACTCCCTCTTCCTTAAGGACTGCCTGAAAAGTTACAAGTGCTGTTAAAACCATCAATCACCATGTTAAATCAACACTTCATCAGCAGTTTATTCAAAAGCCAATTACGCTGCAAATACTTCAGACTGCTGACACACTATGGCGTGCACTTTCAAATATAACATCGGCTATTGACAATCAATACCTGTAGTTGTAGTAAAAGACAGATGATTGTAAGATTACAAAAAATTTAATTGCACTGAAAGTGATGCTCAGAAATCCGCCGAGTCATTTCACAGTAACTGACTAAGTCAGAGAAAGGCATAACTATCACAGAGCCAATTTGAGTCTGTGGGCTTCATTAAAGTGGTTTGTGTTAAAGAATCATGTCACTATAACTACAATCAAACAAACACACAAGTTTCATTTTTGATACCTGAGTCCATTTACAGTTACCATTGACAGTATTTCAGCAGTGTGGTACAGCTACAAAACGGAGGCAAGGCAACCATTTTTAAAAAAAATATAAATGGCACTGCAATGAGATCTGAAAAAGATTTGACCTGTCTCAACTAAAGCCATTGCACAAGAAAATGTCAGTTGTTTTCTGCATATTAGTACCAATTTCGAAGCCCCTTACAAACAACAAAAAGCTTTTAATTGACAGACATAATACACACAACTGACAGCAGAGGCATTCACCTGAACTGTTTGAGGGTCTGCAGGGTCTACAACAACTGCAACACTGGAGGCTGTGTCTATTACAAGATAGCTGTAGTTGTCAGACAGTACCGAGATGGGAATTACTTTTATATCTGTGGGCAGACAAAGAAATGACAAATGACAAATGGAGTACAATATTGGTAGAAGTTGTAGTATTAAAAGAAATACATTTATAATGTAAAATGTGTCCAGGTGTACTGCTCATAGTGTATCTTGGTAAAATAGCAGAACCTTTGTATTAATGTTAATGACAATTCTCGAGCCTGGACATCATATGACAGCGTGCCCTATGTTCGACACACTCAACAGGGTCTGTTCTGTTTTGATGATGGTATCACCCCACAAACAGCAAAAGAAAAGACACTAACACTGTTTTAACAGATTAAATAGTCAAATCCATGCTGTAACATACCATTAAACTCCATGGGGTGGACTGTGGAATGTCCAGCAGGGTAATGTTCCCTGGCTTTTTTCATTTGCCTCTTGTAGTACATGTAGCCAAGTCTGGTCCTGGTGTAGAGTGTGTACCTAGGAAACAGTTCAAAAGGCTAGTGAATATTGTGTCTGGTAGTGTGGCACATAAGATATTTATTTAATTGCCCACTCATTAATGTGTGTTGTTGTTGTATATATACATATATATGTTTTTGTAAGACCCCCCCCTTTCTAAATTCATAGTTAACGGTTTATAACAGCTACAGCATAGTGCAGTTTACCATTGCTAAGTAACCAGAGAGTGCACAGGTGGTGCTGCAGAAAATAGGAAGAGGGAGATTTTCTTGTTGATACATTGTAAATATGATTGTTTTGTGATTTAACATATAAAGGGTGATAAGATAATTATTCATATAGGGAAAGATTATAAGTAAAATTATATAGAATTAACATTGTAAATATCTGGTGAATAATTTTATTGTATTTTTGAAATAGTGTCATTTTGATATTGTATTGTTGTTTTATATTGTGATTATTGTGATGGTTTTATTGAGTTAGTTGAGGCAGTTAACGTTTTTTTTTTTTTTAATAAAGCCACGGAAGACCAGCTCACCCACAGTGCCTTTGTTGTTTATCCTCACGGACACTCATTTTTAAAGTATGTCACCCCTGGAGTACTCAACTTTATGGGCCTAACAGTAGCAGGAGTTGACCATGCTAACCCCACCATGTGGTTACCATGGTTCAAAGGGGAGGGGTTACGCCTACTCAAGTATCAGCAAAGGTAGAGGGTGCAAGCACTAAAAGCCTACATTTGTTCAAAGGACATGAAAAATCTGATCAAGTGGAGCCATTCTTCGAATCGGCAAAAATGCGTTTCACCAAGCAGCAGTAAATTAGTTTTGCACAGTTTCAACAACTACAATAAGTTGGATAGCATGCTATTATAAACCACGTCTCCTAAAGGACACCGCTATTTGTGGCTCATATGTATGCTGCATAAAACAATGGCTACACTCGGTTTAGAAAATGCCTTAGACCATAATGTTGGGATAGTACTTTTATCGACCGGTAACGCAACTACAGCTTGGTGGGACGGCCCTGCGTGATGAGAATGGCTAGATGTTGCTAAGCTACGCTAATAGTAATCACCTCGATGACAACAAAATGTTATTTTATTAAGTATGGTCGTGTTATACTCACGCGATTCTGAACAGTGGCTTCTCCGTGCGGGCCATTATCTTGCTTAACAGTTTTCTCCAAAACACTTGTCCTGAGCGTCTGTAGCGAACACATAAACATAAGAAACAGAGGAAGGATGCAGCAGCAATTAGCGTTACCATCCAGTCGGGAAGCGCCATAGTATCTCAGCGAAACGTAGTGACGTGTCATGTGACCACTACCCCGGAAAGCCCCGGAAGCGAGGATTTAAAATCTCCGTACAATTAGCGTTAATTGTAAAACATTTCTTCTTTTTCTTCTGTGTATCACATCCGATCCCACTTTAGCTCAAGTCATGTTCAATGTGTGAAAAATAATTTCATTATCATAAAGTTAACGTTGTTTTTTGTTTTTTCTTCCAGAAATTAACATTAACATTAACCCGTGAATCTGTGTCAAGAAAATTTGTCTATGACCATATCTATGACTTAGTAACTCAATTTTACAGTAGGCCGACCTTTTTTTAAACGAAACTAATTTCCATTCAAAATGAATAATTAATTTATCATATATGGCGTCGATATTGAATCGAGTTAGGAATTGATCGACGTCTAAATAATTTTGCGAATATAGCTCAAAATGAGACTCAGTAGGCTTTTTATTATTGAATAACATTTAAGTCAACTTAGGGATAATATAATAGGCCTATAAATATGTTTTCAGGTTGACAGCTTTATTAAAGCAACTCAGAGTTAACATCAGCGTTACCTAACATCTAAATGTTGTAGGAGAGGATACAGACAACAGTCTGGGGTTTTTTGTTTTTTTTACGAAGCATTTTTATTATTCTGAACAGGAGCCTGAGCAACCAGAGTCTCCACTTTTGGAGACACACCAGTAACAGTGTGAGTTTCAGTGAGCATATCCTATTACCGAGATGACATCCCCCTGTGGTGCAAGTCTGCAAACCTCCAAGGAGAGAAAAGACTGAAGGGCACAGTGCTCATATCTTAGGCTAAAACCACCAGGTAAGTAAAATTATTCTTTTTCTTTCTTTCTTTCTTTCTTTCTTTCTTTCTTTCTTTCTTTCTTTCTTTCTTTCCCTTGTTGAAATACTTATTCACATCAGACCATAATGAGCATTCAGTCTCATCTTTGTTTCCTTAGACTTCTCTAATATGACTACATTGTTTTCTATTGTTTATTTATTTGTTACAACTGTACAGACATAGCTTCTTTCCAGCAGATACTAATACAGAACTCTGGGTTGTTACAATGTGGTGTTAAGTCTGTAATAGTTTTTCCACAATAATATAATAACAAGACTTTATTTAGTTATTGTGACAATGAAAAGTACATAATTAACTGGATAACTGTTTAAGACATACAGACCAGGCATGAGTAGTTAGGGGTTATATGTACCATATATATATATGTACAGTATGAGTCTGATCTAGTTGATCACCACTTACCCTTTCTTTCAGGTAATCCGGCAAAAATCATGACGACTAAAATAGATAGTCCTCCACCTTATGAGGACGCAGTACACCATCCTAAGTATGGAAACTACCCCCACCAGCCGCAACATGGCTCCCCTCTTCCACCACCTCCATCTTACAGCCCCAGTCCAGGCATGTGCCCTGGCCCGCCTGGCTACTGGGGCCGTGAGGGCGTCTACCCGCAGGCCGGCATGTGGTCAGCCCCTGGCTTCTCTCCATCTGGGTTGCCCACCACAATACCGACTCTGTCTGCTGGAGTGCCTCCGTCCAACTCAGGTTCTGAGGAAATGACACAGGACTTCAGTTAATCACGTCCTGCATTATATTTAGATGAGCTCCTGAGAGTAATAAGTACAAATTACCACTTCGCTATTCCCAATTCTGCAGGAGACATGGAGGATCTTCTGAGCACCCAGTGGGAAAGCACATCTATTCGGCATGCCTTCATCAGAAAGGTAAGGATTTTCATCATTCACCATGCTACACACACAGACAGTCCTGTTAACCTCAACTACATCTACTGATATGTTTCCTTGTGTGCTCAACAGAACTTCTTGGTTTTGTGTTTATGGGCAGGTTTACCTAATTTTAGCAGCACAGCTTGTCGTCACCTTTTCAGTTGTTGCTGTCTTTACATTTGTGTAAGTGTCCCTATTCACCCCAGTAGAATATCCCATCTCATCTATTGGAATGACCAGCGGTCTACTCCTGAGTGATCCTTTATATCTGTGCTTTCATAGTGACCCAGTGAGGCTGTTTGTCATCAGATACCCTGGCATCTACTGGGCATCTTTGTGAGTTACACTATGAAATAAACAAAAACATACTTCAAGTACAACTAAGAGAGCAACTCCCCAGAAACAACAATATTCTCGGTGCTATTATTCTCATGACACGATGATACATACAGCAACAATCATGTCACTTATCTCTCCATAGTGTGGTTTATTTTTTGGTTTACTGCATTCTCATCTGCTGCAAAGGGCCGAGGTAAGTGTGGCCCTGGCCTGACTGTATAAGTTAGAAAATAGTTGTACAACTATGTTATGTCTTATTCACGTATTCATAACCAGTAATGATTCTATTTGTATACTGCTTAAAATATTCATCACGTTTTTTGTTTAGGAGACGTTTCCCATGGAATCTTGTGCTGCTGGGAATATTTGTAAGTATTGTTTTTTAGATTATGAGTCAGAAGCCAATACAGGCTGTGGTCTAGCGGATCCACATGGCAAAACTAAGGAACATGATATGAGGAGTTAGATAGTATTTGGGTTGAAGGCTGGAAAAGTAAAGTAAAACAAAACAAAGGCTGTGCTGCCTAAAAAAAAAAGAGAGATGCCAGAAAAAGGCTAGAACCCACTCTGTCCTCCATGACACATTGTTTTCATGTTTTATCTTGCAGACTCTCGCCTTGTCTTACATGTCTGGAACAATTTCAAGGTTTGTTTTCGGCAATACGCCGCAATACATATAGAGAACATTCTCAGAATGATGTATCATTATTTAGTATTATATTATTTTATGTTTTTGTTTTAATCATGAAATCCGTCTTTTACAGCTATTATGAAACAAAAGCAGTGTTTCTCGCCATGGGAATAACAGCAGTAGTTTGTATAGCTGTCACAATCTTCTGCTTCCAAACCAAGGTAGATGGAGATGTAAACTGTGTCTCTCTGTAGCTCAGTAGCCCGTGGCTTGTCAGAGGATGTCTTTGTTGTCAATGTAAAAGAACGCCTTTGTCTCGCATTACAATGGGGCACTGAGTTCCTTTAAATATTTATAACATTTTGGGATGAGATGTGAATCCAACTTCTCTGTCTGATGCAACTCAAGATGAATAAGTTACATTTTTGGCTGATGCATGACACATCCACCCCCGTTTATTATTATTATTTCTTTTTCCTTATTCTGCTCCTCTTTCAAATTATCTCGACTGCTCTTTCATGTGGCTTGAAGCGTATTAACTTCGCTTTCATCCTGCCAATGACTCGTTTCTCATCACAGGTGGACTTCACCTCCTGTGGGGGACTTCTCTGCATTGCTGCCGTTTTGCTCATGATCATTGGGATTGTTACAGCCATCGTCCTTTCCTTCCAATATGTGAGGACTCTTTGGTCAAATCCTTTAATTTATCCTCACTTCTCGTGTTTCTCAGTGTGAGGAGTAGCAGCTCAGTAGGGTGTATCTGTGGGACTGATTTAGCATTCAAAGGCCTTTCTTATGTCACTCAACAGGTCCCTTGGCTGCATATGCTCTATGCTGCAATTGGAGCCATCGTTTACACTCTGGTGAGTCTGCACTCACATGAATTTAAGGACAACTTGTGAGCTTGGCTGTGCAAGGTCATTGTTGAATAACAAGAGTCCCTGAATGTTTTGGTCTGAGAGTGGACATGCAGGTGGACCAATGGAAAGAGTCAATTTTTTGGGGATATTGAACATGATCCTTGAACTTCATATTTTTAGTCGCACTAGCTCATGGAAAGCAAATGTTGGTCTAAGTACGTCAACAGCTATTTGATGGATTGCCATGACTTGAGTGCTCTGCTGACTTTTCTCTCTCGTGCTTCCAGGAGGTTTCACAATTTTGATTTTGAGTGAAATTTGTTGGCTATTCTTGGATGGATTGCCATAAAATTGGATACATACCTAAATTTATTGCATCTTCCCCTCAGATGAATTGTACTTAACTTTTCATCTGTCACCATAATCAGGTCAAAATTTCAATGTCCAATCCTATGTTTGACCAAATACCTGCAAAACTAATGATATTCCCACTAGCAAATATTAGTATGCTAATGTGCTAAACTAAGATGGTGAACATGGTAAACATTATGCCCGCTAAACATCAGCATATTAGCATTGTTGTTGTGAGTATGTCAACATGCTGAAGTTAGCTCAAAACACTGTGGTGCCTAAGTACAGTGTTACAGACCTGCTAGCGCAGCTGTAGACTTTTAGTCTTGTTTGTGCAATGGGGGAAATTTCTGCCCGGATAGTAGAATTTATGGAAACGCCAAGGGTTACAAAAAGATTAGGATTCATTCAGATGGGGAACATGAAAATCGCTATCAATACTGTGGTATTCTAGCAGGTTGTTGACATATCTTGTTTAGACAAATGTGTGTGACAGACACACTAACAGTGCTAAAATTAATACAGTATCAACTTTCTTCATCCATGAATATATTTGGAATTAACAAGATAAAAGGTATATAACATTTTTTACAGCTAAATATTTGATGGTTTGCTGCTCCCCACTAAACTCAAAGACATCTTAAGCAAACCCATGTTTCTTTTTGTTTGACAAACTAAACTTTCCTTTGTTCCTCTCTTTCTCTGTTAGTTTTTGGTATACAACACCCAGCTTCTTATTGGAAACCGAGAATTGGCCATCAGCCCAGAGGAATACATCTATGGAGCACTCTCTCTCTACGTTGACATTGTTCACATTTTTCTCTTCATCCTTCAAATCAGCGGAGCTGCGACTGAATAAGGCCATGGTTAGAGCACATCTTGTCTTGAGAGTTTGTACTTATAGTATATTGTGTTTGTCATTAAACACAATGCTACATGAACACAAGTGTTTAAATTAGGACGCACCATTACAGACTATGTTAAACATCTTAACTATCAATTTAATTATACTGTATATATTTTCTTGTCAATAACACTTGAGCACTTTTATTTATTCTTGTACTTTATAAAGCTGTAAAGTGGGTTTAAGTCTTTCATTTACCCAAGTGTGAATGAGGAGACTTTGTATTTCTGTATAGTTGTAATTTAATGTTGCCTTTTTTGTTTTAGCAAGTTGTGTTTTAGTAGATCATTCATGCAAAACATACACGTTTAACTGGTGTAGTAGTCTGTGAACAATTACTTTGGTGAAACTTAATCATTATTGAATTAATGAGTAATACACAGTGTGATCCTTATTAAAAGGTACAACAACGACAACAAAAACAACAATGGAGACATAACAATTGATGGTCTGAGAGGTTTTTTTTTTTATTGTTTGAGTTTGGTTCTGTTAATTACTTACAAAACACCTGGAGTTACAGGCATACAGCTGGAGACCACAATCATTAGTCCTAAGTCTGTGCTGGTAGAGGGAGGGACTCAGATCTGTATTAAAGTAGTTTTAACATCTCCATAGAAAAGGACTTAGACAAACACTGACTCATTGATTAAAAGATGGATTAAGTGTGTGCAGATTTCCAGAAGCTTCCTTAAGTCATGGGCCAACTCTTCTTTCTCTTTAATCTATCGATTATTTGTTGTTGTTAGACAACAATGCACACCAATCAATAAAGTACACCCTACTGTTGCAACTGTTTTATTCTTTCATCTTAATGGTTAATCGTAGTGGCACGTTAGAGTCATAGGGTGGCACTAGCTCCTATACCCTCTCCTTTTCTGTCACCAGCATCTGTGTGTTAGTCCAGTGATGATTGGGTATGTCCACATGGTGGCAGGTTCAAGGCGTCAGGCGCTTGGGGTCACGTGGGAACATGGAGGTCTGACGTACATTGTGGAGACCAAGGTACAGCATGCAGACTCTCTCCAGGCCTGGGAAGGATGACAGTTCAGTCACTCAACAAATCTTTATTTTCGCCATTAAAAACCTCCAAGACGCCTGGAGTCATATTCACAGACAGTATATTCTAATGATACTTTTAAAACTAATAATTATAAATAACACTAAAAACATCTTCAGTAAAGCAGGAGATCTGTCTTCTGTACGTACCAATGCCTCCACCACCATGTGGGGGAGCTCCATACCGGAAGGAGTCAATGTATGCCTTGATCTTCTCCAGATCTGTAGTAGCATAAAAAGAAATAGGTTTAATTGTAAAAAGAAAAAATTGAAATTACTTTGCATTTTTAAAACAACAATCTAACAAATTTCCCAGTGTTGTAATTCCCACTGGTCACCAACAGAGGGAGACAGAAATCATATGTAAATCACTAACTGTACCTTAACAGAGCCATCTCTACACTTGCTCTTACCAATCTGGTGATGGATGGCCCTTTCAGTCAGCAGCTGAGCGTCGTGGATTCTCTGAGCTCCAGAGAGGATCTCCTCACCCCTCATGAACATGTCATAGGAGTTGGAGTATTTCTGATGAAAACAAGAAGAGACATCACCTGTGATATCAAGAATCAAACTATTCACACACCTGTTAATGAAAGGAGGGGAAAAAAGACACTGACACACGAAACATAAAGACATAAAGACAGACTTGGACAGTTAAAAGGAGGGTTGCAAGTTGACGATGCTGCAGTGTGGATCGAGAGTAGACCAAATTGCTACAGAGTTCCTCCACAGAGATTCTACAAAAACAACATATGCAACTAAAAAAGTATATAAGCAAGTAAATAAGTAAACAAAAGTGTAATTAGCAAGTATACCCAGAAATCATAGGAGGCTGAAGAGTCTTTGGCAAGTCTAAAGCAGCTCTCTGACAACAATGCACTAATTTATAAAACCTTACACACTTAACATTTGTTGCTGCACATTTCTTATTATGTAGCCAACTGTGTGTATGAGTGGGTGAGAGACTTACAGGGTTGTTTGGATCAGGCATTGTGTAGAAGGGTCGAACAGCCAGTGGGTACTTATCCAGCACATAGAAGTCGGTATCATACTGAGAAAAAATCAGTGTAGATTCAAACATTAGTCACATAACTGCGGATTAATAAATACATTCATGTTTCCCATTTTGATAATGAAGCAAAAAGCCTGTGTGATAAATTACTTAATAAACTTATCCCTTAGGGTTTCAGGTTGCTATGGCATTCTGCACTAAAAATGAAACTTCCACCATACTGCAGGATATGGAACATTTGATGTTACTGTCACTTTTGAAAGTTCTGTAAAATATGTTTATTTTTGCCAACACTGCTAAGGCAACATGAAATTGGCAATCCTAAATATTCTGTTAAACTCCACCACATGCAGAATTCACTGTGGCTCAGGTGTTATGAACTGTAAATTAGATCGCCATGATTTTATTAGAGAACTCTGATGAAGTCAAACAGCTGATTTTCAAAGGTGGTGATTTTAATGTGTAACCCATCAAAGAATGATTTTTTTACTATCAACACAAGTTTTATTTAACCTGCTTCTTCAGTCAGTGTCCAGTCAAGCAATATTCATATTTTTACACTCTGACATTAAATTAATGAAACACAACTGAACATACCTTTTCCTTGACAAGACGGCCGAGCAGCTTTTCATTGGGCGTGCTACAGAATAACAGAAAAAGGCATTCATTTGTATCCTTTAAATATGTCTTAATGTGTCACAGTGTTTACTTGTAACTTGTTTGCAACTGAATATGATAGTTATCTAATGCTCTACAGGTCTATTTACACCAACAGCATCTATGTCTGTCCTAACTATAGTATAAATAGTTCCACAGAACAAGAATGACTTGAATATTAAAATATTGCTGAATTATTGGTGTGATGTTTCACTTCCTCTCTTAAAACTCTAAATGTTAAAATGTGTTTCTGCTTTTATCACATCAAATCATCTGACAAGATGAGGTGGAAGTGGGGGCACAGGGCTTCTGATGTATTCTGACCTGAGGTCATCCTCATCACCCATCTCCACCCCAGCCGCACGCAGCATGGCCAAGGCCTCGATGTATTCCAGCCTCAGAGTGGGCTCCAGGAATTTGAAAGGCTCACTGGGGAACTGCTTATTCACTGTCTGGATCTCGGTCTGGAAGCTAATGCAGACAGGCACAGGCACAGACACACACACACACACACAGACACAGACACACAAACATTAAAATCTACTAACCAATATTCAGAATTCCTACCCACACAGGGTACATATTTGCCTTTGGTTGTTAAACTAACCAGGATCAAAGCCCACACAGGTCAGTCATTTTGTAAAATAACACTTCAATATTTTAAAGGCCTTACAGTTTTGTACAGTGTTTAAATCTCAAATTTTGTTCCTGTGGGCAACTAAACATGCTCTCTCACCCGAAACAGAGCAAAGCTAGTGAGCTAGTGGAGTTGGTAAAAATACTTAAATGCACCTGAATCACAATATTACAATGTGAGATGATACATGAACAGCCTTTGTGTTGTTTTTTTTTTTTTTTACCAACATCTAACAATCAGTATTTTGATTTGTTTTGGAAACAACATGAGACAACTAACAGAGACCAAGTCATCTGTTGCTGAAACGTCAGTCAAATGCATATGCAAAATCAGTAAATACGTCAAGGAGAAATAGTCTGGAAAATAATAAGAACAAAGCCAAACAGTCAAACTGTCCTGAGAAAGAGGAACAATAGTCATAACTTGAAACTAATGACTGTGACTAGCTAGTTTGCTGTGTGACCTAAGTTGACCCATTTCTGGAGCAGTGTTTCACACACTTAGTTGATCTGGTTTTCACAGGGGTTTTTTTTTCTGAGATGGTAACAAAACTAAGGAGCATCTGTCTGTCCTTTGTGAAACATCTTATTGTTTTCTTCATAAATTATGTGGCATTTTAGCGTCACATCATGCCATCAGCCAAATCTCCCTAAGTTTCATCTTCCAGTCACACCAACTGCTTACAAGACAAAAATCCAACAATACAAGTACAGCTACTGAATCCACAGCATGTGAGCAAAGTAAGAATCAAATGAGGGAGAGAACAGAAGGTTAACTTTTACGCCTTGTCCATGTTTTTTATTGAAATGGTTTGGGTGCTATTTGAATGTGTATAATGGAGAGCAGAATTCTGTGCCATAATTCTGTGCCATAATTAGTGATTTAATTGATAAGACTTTTTTTTGGGAGGTCAGCTTTGACAACTCAGGACTTTACTGTAAGGGGAGCAGACCTCATCCTTGTGCTGCCTACAGTCAGCAGTTACACAGTAGGTATAAAAGGACATTAAACAAACAATAAGATTTAGGCAGCCTGTGTGAGAACTATTCTTCTGGATGTCATTATTTTCCAGTCAGTGCTACCATGATGATGAGAACAAAAAAATCTATATAATACCCAAGTTTAAAACTACTGCCATTTGCAGACATCTGAAGCCAGAAAAGCTGCAGGTTCCACACATAAGAAGAGTTACACCTACTCATGTTTTTATCCAGTCCAGTTTTAACAGCTCATTACAGGTGCTGCACTGATTCACACCACTAGGAGGCAATAAAGCCACATCATTACATTTTCTTGTTGGCAGTTCACTAGTCAGACTGAGTGGAACTCACTGACTTTTTAACAGAGCACACAACAGTGGGTGACCACACTTAAAATGGATTCAAGAGCTGAAAAATTTTTACTAAGACATACAACATTTCAGCTTTTTGCCATCCATGAAATTTCCACATCAGGAGCTAATCCTGAGAAAATTCAGATCTTCTGTTGGGTAGGAGAACATACTTAGGACTCTACAGCATCTCACTTGCATCATGTTTTGGTGCAATCATCACCTGAGCCAAAAAATGTTTGAGTATAAGTTAAAACAAAAAT